TTGTTCATATTTTTTTGAAGATTCTGCAGAAGATTTACAATGAGAAGAGTTTGATTTGATTTGATTTGATCAAATCTAAATTGGTGTTAATTATGAAAAGATTTGAAGGGGAGTGAGAGGTGTCTCATATCTAGGAGTGTCCTAGGTAGAAGTTGCACTAGTAGGGATTAAGTGAGGGTTTGTAAACGGGGGAGTTTAGCTCTGAATTGATACTACTGATAGTGGATTTCCTTCTTGGCTTTGTAGCCCCCAAATGTAGGTGATGTTGCGCCGAACTGGGTAATAATTTATTGTGTTATTTATCTTTCTGCATTTAAAATTCTGCATAATTTAAATGGTTGGATAAATTATTATGTCAGTCTGCAAATGTTACAACATTTGTCATGACACTGTTAATTCTTAAAGTAAATCAAAATGCTTGTGTTCTATCCTTTTATGTTTTTAGCAGAGATCAATGTCTCGAAATCTCTTATGACATCGGAGATCTGCATACCAGAATTTCAGGCTTTACCGCATTAATCACTAGATGATGTCTCATGCTAACAATTAACACAATAATATAAAATCTTGATAATATTGAATATCAACTTACAAATCTATGTCTACAGTTTGCTCATTGATATATGAATATCTTAGATCTAGCATTTGAAAGAGATTTCTCTACACCCACTCAAACCCACAAACATAAAATCAAAGACAACATCAATATTGAATCAAAACTAGTTCACAATACAAAGATTAGAAGAAATACATAAGGTACCGATCAATTACACCCAACCCTAACAAGAGATCAAAGCTACTTACTCAAAGATCAAGCTCCAATTTGCTTGGATTTGGACTTCTCCCTCTTAGAGTTTGTGTTTATCTCTCTAAAATATGTTTGAAATGACGAGAGATAAAGTTGGATCCCAAAAATATCTAGTAAGTTCCCTTATATACAAGTTACAAAAAGGGAATATAAGTGGCACCGTGCTAAGCACCAACAGAGCGTGCTTAGCGCGATCAGTTCAAAGACGGTAAAACACAGAGAGTACGCTAATGCGCGGTCTGAAACCCTCAGCTACTACCTCTGGTCCACAATGGCATTGAACTCGCACTAAAAAGTGGGCTAAGCATAGTTTTCTATCAAATTGCCACAAAAGTTATCTTCCAAACCTTCTTCCAACATCCAAAGGCTCCTAACATCACATCAGGTAAGAAAACCTATCAAAATGTATCAAAGTTATCATAATTAAGTTATTTGCACAAAACTACAATATAATACTAAATGATTACATATTCACACTAAAGTTGAGGTTTTCACTAGAAAATCCAATTAATCATGCCAATAAGTGCCAACAAACTACACACATATTTAACACAATTTGACACTAATTTGTTGTCGACTAGGGTATGCCCATTGTTAAGCCTAACTCTAATATTGTTTTAGTTTCTTGGTGTTCTGTGGTCAAGAAAGTTCTTCCCCGTGTAAGTTTTCGAGGTAGTAGGCCCCATTCTCCGTTTTTGCCCAGACACAATAGGGACCTTCCCAGTTCGCAGTGAGTTTGCCCTCGCGAGAATCTTTGTAATTTCTTTGCAAGACTAGGCTGTCGATTTCGAATTCTCGTTTTATGACTTTGGCGTCATGTCGTAAGGTTATCTTTTTTTTAACGAGGCTTCGCGGAGGGCTGCCCTCGATTGAATCTCTTCGACAAGGTCAAGCTCATCTCTTAGTACCTTGTCATTCCTCGTCGAGGGGAAATTCAATTTACCTTGAGGGTTCTCTGATCTCCATTGAGATCACTGCCTCGGTCCCGTAGGCTAGTCGAAACAGAGTTTCCCTTGTGGTCGTGTGTGGTGTCGTTCTGTAGGCCCAGAGCACGTTGTGTAGCTCTTCGACCTATTTCTTTTATGCCTCGCCTAATCATCATTTTAGTCCTTGTAGGATCACTTTGTTCGCAGCCTCGGCATGCTTGTTTGTTTATTGGTGCTCAACAGATGTGAAATGTTGTTTGGTGCCAAGTTTGGCAAAGAAATCCTGGAAACTTTTTTCAGTGAACTGTGTCTCGTTATCAATGACGAGTGTTCTTGTGGTATGCCAAATCGGGCAAGTATGTTTCTCTTATAAAAGTGGAGTATATTGTGTGCCTGATTTTGGTGAGGACTTTTTTCTCTATCCATTTTGTGAAATAATCTGCGCTGACTATTAGGTATTTATTCTGTTTTGACCCTATGGTAAACGGCATGAGGATGTCGATTCCCTACCAGGCGAAGGGCCACGGGACGAGAGACTTTTGAGCTTGTTGGTCGGCGCCAAGTGAATGTCTTTATCGCATTAACATTTATCACATTTTTTAACATGTTATTTTACGTCGTGTTGTATGGTGGACCAGTAATATTCTGCTCGCAAGGCCTTCCGGACGAGGGATTTTCCTCCAAGGTCTTTGGCGTTGATTTCTTCGTGGATTTCGTGTAGAATGTGGGCGACCTTGGATTCCTTAACACACTTGAGGATAGGAATGGAGAATCCTCGTCTATATAGTTTGCCCTCTACCAAGACATAGGCGTAATCCCTGCGTCTGATCATGTTGGCCTCTTCCAAGGCCGGGAGTAGTTCCCTAGTTGCGAGGTAGCTGTATATCAGAGTCATCCAGAAGTAGTTACGAGGTAGTCGAATAACCAGGCAAAGTGTTTTTTGATACTCGGGTGTGAAAGTATCTCTTGGATGACAGACTTGTTTCCGCCTTTCTTCTTTGTTATTCTCTCCTGAACCAGATCTAAGTACTCAGAGAGATTGTCGTTCTTGGCTTGATATTCTCCTAATACTTGAGAGGCGGCGAGTTGGAAACCAGATCTAAGTGATTTTTACCTCTTTAGCTCACAAGTCTTCGGCCAAGTGTAGCTCTGCAAGGAAGGCTTCGTACTTTGCCTAGTTATTCGAGGTTGGAAAGGATAGGGCGAGGGAAACTTCGATCAAGATTCCCTCTTCGTTTTCAAGTATGATGCATGCTCTGCTTCCTTTCAAGATGGATGTTCTGTCTACGAAGATGATCCAGTTATGGGCTCCACTTGTCGAGGAGGCAGACGTGGTCATTTTTGCCATGATGTCAGCTAGTACTTGAGCTTTAAGGGTCTTCCTGCTCTCGTACCAAATTTCAAATTCAAAGAATTCCAGTGACCATTTGAGCATTCTGCCGGCCATTTCGGGACCGCTGAGCAGCTGCTTTACGGATTGGTCAGCTTGCACCACGATCATGTGAGTTAGAAAGTAGTGTCTCAATCTTCTCACTGCATTGATGAAAGACAGTGCTACTTTTTCAATTTGCAAGTACCTGAGTTATGGGCCTTGTTGGTGAAGTATATAGGTTTCTGCCCCTCGGGGGTTTCACTGACAGTCTCGGCTGTGATGGCATGGTAAAGGTAGAGAGTTTTCATGTTGTCTCGTCGCAAGAGGACTGGTGGTTGCGAAAGAGCTCATTTGAGGTGGAAAAGGGTTTTTTCACACTCCTCAGTTCATTCAAATGTTGCTTCCTTACGAAGAAGTTTGAATAGGAGAAGTGTGTACTGGATAGATTTGGCTATGGGACGGGGTAATGACGTGAGCATTCCGTTTAGGGATTGAATTGATTTCTTCGAGTTTGGCGTCGGGAATTCGGAGAAGCCCCTGCATTTTTGGGGGTTTGCTTCGATTGCTCATTCTGTTCGATGGAAGTTGGGGAACTTACCTGCTCAAACACCGAAGGTGCATTTCTCCATATAGAACCTCATCTTGAACCACCTCGTCTGGTCGAAGACTCTTTTCAAGTGAAGCGTGTGGTCAAATTCCTCTTGGAATTTCACAATCATGTCGTCCATGTAGACTTCGAGCATGTCTCTAACCTCACATCGAAAGACTTTGTTCATCATCTGCTGGTAGATAGTGTCGGCATTCTTCAAGCCAAAAGACATTACGTTCTTCAAACCGGAAATCATTCTATAAAAATTCAAAAATATTTATTAAGTTTTAAAAATGCATCTTCAAACGCACGCTAATTCTTATCAAATAAAATTCATTCCATTTCTTTTATATTCAATTACTCAAAATATATACATAAATGAGTGACACCTTTGTATTCAATTACACAAAGTAAATCCGAAATTACATTTTAGAAAAAGGGCTAACCGTATATAACATAAAAATGGGGCTAACTGTACATAACATAAAAAATGTTGAGGCTTTTTTTTAATATTGCACGCGACATTATACGATGTTAATAAACAGCTTCTGTTCATTGCCTTCCGAAAATTAACAATATGCCTTGCACTTGGTTTCAGAGAAGAGAATTTTCCAAACATACCCGAAAATATTTCTATTTTAACTAAAGGGTTCAAATGATTAGACAGACAAGATTTGCCAATAAGAATGGAGCCCACAATATCTATCCCAGTCTTTTCAATAATGGTACTCTATTCTTCTTTAAGAATTACTTTTTGATAGATCTTATTTCTTTTTAATTGTTACTTATAATTATTATAAAGAAAAAAAACAAATATAATAAATAATTATGAATATTATAAGTTTAACAAAAATTGTATGAAAACAAATAATATTGATTAGTTTTTATTTAATATGCATAAAAAATCTGAAAGTGACAATTAAAAACGGATGAGAGTACTTAACAAGGAGGCTTAAACCAGTGAGACATAAATCAGTATTTATGAAATGCAGTTTTATTCAGGTTTCTAACCCCAAAAACGCAGAACTCATTTATACTTAAGTCAAGATAAACCACATTTTTTAACATTGAAATAACAACAAAACATTTCATGGACACATTTTGAAATTGTAGACATATGTAATAGAAAGTAACAAAAAAGAAAATATTCAACTATTTGATCTGAATATGCAATTTAAACCTGAATATGATTCCCTAAAATCAAAATCAAAGGATCGTCCATGGCAGTTAACATGTCCAAAATGACTACCTTGAACAAGTACAACTAACTTGACTAGCTATGAAAGAACTTGTGAAACAACTAGATCAACTAGCATTCGATAAATCATCAATGATATCTGAGATGACCTTGCCCATGTCAAGATCTTTCATCGGCTGGAATGGACGTTTCATGTTCTACAATTAAGTAAACATTTTAAATTATCATCAATTGAGCAGATTGAAACCTTAAAACAGTGGTAGGGTAAAAAAATCCTAATTCAATGAAGAGAGCAGCAAAAAAAACTTTAACAATATACTTCATATCCAAAACAAAAACAAAAAACGACTTCATAGTATAGAACATGAACAAAAGGAAATAAAATCAATGGTTAAAAACTGTTTAGCAAGTTAAACAAATTAAGTAGCCAGTTTTTGACAATTGTTTGTGTAGATAACAAAAATGCAAGACTTACCAAAAGGCTGATGAAAGACTTGTCACCATCTTGCAGGCGTATTTCAAAACAACCTCTTCTTGGCTGTTAATTGAAAGATAACATAGAAACATTGTCAAAAACATTCCTCACACATATATAGTGAATAAAATCTTAGACAATGCATTCAATAGTTATGAAGTCATAGTAATGACATTTACTAACAATCATTATCATTTAAAAGTTATAGTAGAAAATAATACAATAAAAAGAATTGTGGTTAAGTTTATGTCTTATAGGTTGAGTTAAGGATTCAAAGTGATAAACATGGTAGTGGAAGTGCATCAGATGATTGAAAGAAAAACATTTTAGCATACGCAGGACCATATATAGTGCACTAGTGTAACAAATGACAATTAGACGCCAATTTACTTACAACTCTCAATATAACGTGTGAAAATTGTTGATGAAGTTCTTAAGCAATAAAAACCCTTAAAACAGTGGATAAGAAGACATAATAATCCAAAGCTAAGTAAGTAAACTAAACAAAATATAAACTGACAAATAAGCACAATATCAACTACACAAAATTACAACTCTCCAATACAACTCCCCAAAACATTTCATGGACACATTTGGAAATTGTAGACTTTTGATTTGATATTGTGCTTATTTAGAACTTCCTATTTCCTAACATTGAAAAATACATAAAGAGATTGTAATGAACAACACTCTCCTCTTCCCTCTTCTAGATACTACTTCTAAATAAGCACAATATCAAATCAAAAGTCATCAAATGCCAACCTCTCATTCAAAATAAACGGACGATTAAATTATGGACTAATCTATTCATTCAAACACATTAACAAAGAAAATATAACGCTATAAAATAATCAATGGCAGAATAAACAATAAAAACACTTAAAACAGTGGATACGAAGACATAATAAACCAAAGCTAAGTAAGTAAACTAAACAAAATATAAACAAACCGGCTCAGGGTTCAGCTTCACAGCAACACCACAATCGCTACTCTCCAGAGCTTCCTTCACCTGAATAGCTCTTGTCTTGAAAGAGTTGCATTGCTTACTAAAAAAATTAAACAAGACAAGGTTACAATATTTAATATTCAGAATCAAAAACAAAATCTATAAACCGTTAAAATCTATCCAGTATCAAGTATCTAGTTTAAAAAATCATATTCTTATCTCAAAATAGCACATAAATTGTCAAGATTTCCGATTAAGCAAATAAGGTTTTATATTAACAATCAATCCATTTTCCATTAATCACACGCAGATCAATAACAGGTAGCATATTCAAGATTTACAACCAAATCATAAAACAAGAACCTATGAGTATACAAAACAAAATACAGCATTTTTAATTGATTCCTAAAAACTAGGGTTTCGTCTTATAGAAAAACAATAGCTTCATTTCAAAGGAAAACATATCAACCTACAATAGAGAATATCACATTTTCAGCTGATTCCTAAAAATTAGGGTTTCATCTCATAAAAAGAAAAGCTTACTTTCAAAAGAAAACATAAGACATAACTTCAGATCAAATGTACATCAACCTACTCTAAACGCAATATATTCATAAAAATAAAACATCCAGAAAACATATAATTCTTCATTCAAGCATTATAACCAATGCAAGAAAACGATAAAACGGTAAAAGGAGTGAAATACCAATGCTCAACGACAACAGTCTTGGCAGTCTCTTCTTTAACAGCTCCAGAGCCTTCACCTTCTTCCTTCGCTTTCCCTTTGCCCTTCCCTTTAACCTCAGCTTTCTTCGCCTTAACCGGTGATTTCCTATTAGTGTTAGGCAACTCAATAAAGTTAGCCACTGAAGAACTCCTGGCACCGGAACGAGTAAGTCTCGTGGCGGAGCGAGTCACCCTTGCCGACTTCGCCGTCGTCTCTGCAGCTTTCTCAACCTTTCGTTTTGGTGCCATTTCTTCGGTCTCTCTGTTTTTCTTTTCTTTCTCTCTTTCTCAATGCGTGCGTGTGGGTTTGTCTTCTGTGCTTTCTCGTTTTATTACAGACGTTTTGGATTTTCCCGCGCTTTTGAATTTTGAATGAACGGCTTAGATTGTTTGTGAGATAGATGGATCGACGGTTTTTAGTGTGTGTTTGTTTGCGTTGAAACTAAGCTGAAAAAAAAAGCTCGAAATTCAAGAACTTCCCAAACGGATGGAGTGATGAGGAATAGTGAGGGTTGAATAGGAAGAGACAAAAACGCGTCAATTCCGAAAGTGTGATACAGTAGTAATAAAGGGACTGCAATTTTTTCCAGTCAGGAAAATGCCAGATTTACCCTCTCTCAACTTTGTTGCCGTCGGATAGAAATGAAACGGTCTGTATTTTAAGTTTAATATTTTCTTATTTGAAAATTCAAATTAATTTGTTCAATTTCAACCTATGAATTATAAATATTATAGTTACTAAGTGAATTGGGTTGACAATATCTATTCAACTTTATAATTACAATACATTTTAATGATTAAGTTTAAATGATTTTTCTTTTAATTTGAGACTACAAAATTATTTGGATGTATGTGACTAGTATAAAAAATGGTTTAAAAAAAATTATAAGTTTTATGTGTTTCTTGTTTTTAAAAGATACTGAGACTTAATTATATTATAATCAAATTTAATATGTATTTACTAAGTTATTAAACACTTATTATTTGAAAATCGTCCACCGTTATATTTAATTGAATGGTTCTCCGCGTCTCATGTTAAGAAACATGTGGCAGTTCTAACAGGCTCCATATATAAAAATTTATCGTGTGTTGATCACGTGAATGATCTCACCATAACTTACATTGACATTTTTCATATATCCCACACACTTAAGTATCAAAGTGTTAACCTTACAAGTCATTATTTATCTATTGTACCAGGAAGCACTTGTTGTGCCAATCGACTTCACATATTTGTATTCATCATTTATAGTTTTGGTACGAAATATTAGTGTCATTACTGGTAATCAACTTTTGATTCTCATAAACTTCTATGATTAGATTTTTTTGATTCAAAAGTCATGAATCGGCTATCGTGATCTTGCTCAAAAGAATACGATGATTTTCGATCCCACTGTTAGAATCATTGTGGTTTCATCAACCTCGTGATCATCATCTTAGCTCATCATTTCTCCGATCGACGAAGGGTCGTCTATTAGGGGAAAATAAGCAAAAAAGTATCTGACACAAGGCTCTTCAAAATCGCCTATGGTGGGTAGGAGACAGGAAAAAGACAAGCATATCATAGGTTTCCGAGACAATGAAAAGGTGAATGGGATTCCCAATGTGACACTTTCATTGGTTGTAACTACCACTATAGTGAACCACTCTGTGCCAGAAATTCTTATTAACGACGAGGATTCTTGCGATGTCATGTACACCAACAACTTTATGAAGTTAGGGTTACGCAATCATGATCATATACCATATGAAAGAAAGAATCTTTCGGCACTTTATGATTTCATCACTTGCCTTTTGTGGAGCCGTAAAATTACTAGTCGCTTCCACCACCTATTCATCCATCCAATAGTATTGAGTGGCGTCTGTAACTCCCATTTTAATTATCTCATTTTTCCGTGTTATTTTATTTTCGGCGTGTTTTGTGGGGATGTTTGAGTGTGATTGTGTGTAGCCCTTAAGTTGGAATTAATTAATAATTTTGGACTTTAAAACTAATAATAAAATTATTAGTGATAATGATAAATTAATGACTAATAGTAATATTATTAATATTATTATTATTGTTATTATTATTATTATTATTATTATTATTATTATTATTATTATTATTATTATTATTATTATTAAGTAAATAAAAGAAATGGAATAAAAGAATTGGGATGAGGGGTATTGTTGGAATATTGGAAAGAAGGAGAAAAAGAAAACACGTTGGAAGGAGAAGAGAAACAAGAACACGAGTCTACATCGATTGTTTTCGGAAGGTGTTGTTATTTCTTACGCCGGAGGAGGAAGCTTTGGCAGATTCCTTGTCTGGTAAGGAATTAAGGATCTTGTTGGAGGGTGAAGCTAAAATGTTTGTTTTATTTGCATCATTAGCTGTTGACGGAAAAGTGTCACTGAAGGAGTTGGTGGTGGTGAATGAGTTTCCTGAAGTGTTCCCTGAGGATATTACAGAGTTACCTCCAAAGAGAGAAGTTGAGTTTAGCATTGATCTTGTACCTAGTACGAGGCCTGTATCTATGGCGTCGTACAGGATGTCAGCAGTGGAATTGGCTGAATTGAAGTCTCAGATTGGAGAGTTGTTGGATAGGAAGTTTATCAGGCCAAGTGTGTCGCTGTGGGGAGCTCCAGTGTTGCTGGTGAAGAAGAAGGATGGTAGTACGCGTCTGTGCATCGATTACCGTCAGTTGAATAAAGTGACCATCATGAACAAATATCCTCTTCCAAGGATTGATGATTTGATGGATCAGTTGGTGGGAGCTCGAGTGTTCAGTAAGATTGACTTGAGGTCGGGTTACCATCAGATCAGAGTGAAGGAAGGTGATATTCAAAAGACGGCATTTAGAACTCGATACGGACATTACGAGTATGCGGTAATGCCTTTCGGAGTGTCGAATGCGCCAGAAGTGTTCATGGAGTATATGAACCGGATCTTCCATTCTTATTTGGATTAGTTCATTGTTGTGTTCATTGACGATATACTGATTTATTCGAAGTCTGAGGAAGAGCATGTAGGACATTTGAGAATTGCTTTGCAAGTGTTGAAGGATAATAAGCTGTTTGCGAAACTATCCAAGTGCGAGTTTTGGTTGAAGACGGTGAGTTTCTCCGGCCATGTAATATCTGGTGATGGTATATTGGTAGACCCATCAAAGGTGAGCACAGTATTGCAGTGGGACCCGCCGAATACAGCATCAGAAGTTAGAAGCTTTTTGGGTTTGGCAGGGTACTATCGAAGGTTCATTGAAGGGTTTTCTACTTTGGCATTGCCATTGACTCAGTTGATGAGGAAGAATCAAGTTTTTATGTGGGATGCTGCTTGTGAAGAGAGCTTTGTGGAATTGAAGAAGAGATTGACTACGGCACCGGTGTTAGTGTTACTGACTCCGAGTGAACCGTTTGTGGTGTACTGTGATGCATCTAAGATGGGTTTAGGCGGAGTTCTTATGCAGAATGGTAAAGTAGTGGCGTATGCTTCACGGCAACTGAGAGTGCATGAGCGGAACTATCCTACTCATGATCTTGAGTTGGCTGCGGTGGTTTTTGTGTTAATGATCTGGAGACATTATTTGTATGGTTCGAAATTTGAGGTGTTCAACGATCATAAAAGTCTGAAGTATCTGTTTGATCAAAAAGAGTTGAATATGAGGCATAGAAAATGGTTAGAATTCTTGAAGGATTATGATTTTATCCTAAGTTATCACCCGGGAAAGGCTAATGTGGTAGTCGATGCTTTGAGCAGGAAGGCAATTCATATGTCGGCTATGATGGTGAAAGAGATGGAGCTTATTGAGCAGTTCAGAGATTTGAGCATGGTTTGTGAAACTTCGGAAGATTGCATGATGTTGGGCAAGTTGCAAGTGAACAATGATTTCTTGGATATGATCAGAGAAGGTCAGAAGCTTGATGTAAAGCTAGTGGATGTGATGTCTGGAGTGGGAAGAGACTCCGATAGTGATTTCAAGTTGGAAGGTTCATGTGTGTTGAGGTTCCGAGGTAGGATTTGTGTGTCGGATAGTGATGAGTTGAAGAAGTCGATTATGAGTGAAGGACATCGTAGTAGTTTGAGTATTCATTCAGGAGCTACGAAGATGTATCATGATTTAAGGAAGATGTTTTGGTGGTCAGGTATGAAGAGGGATATAGCTCAATTTGTTTATGCATGTTTGACGTGTCAGAAATCGAAGGTCGAGCACCAGAAGCCTAGTGGATTGATGCAACCGTTAGAGATTCCAGTTTGGAAGTGGGATTGTATCACTATGGATTTTGTTACAGGATTGCCGAACACGGCAAGAGGATTTGATGCCATTTGGGTAATTGTGGATCGGCTTATGAAGTTTGCACATTTTGTGCCGGTTAATATCAATTTTGCGTTGGAGAAGCTGGCAGAGATTTATGTTCGAGTGATTGTGAAGCTGCATGGTATGCCGGCGAGTATTGTGTCGGATAGAGATCCGAGGTTTATGTCAGAATTTTGGAAGAGTTTGCAGAAAGCTTTGGGTACCAAGTTGAAGATGAGTTCAGCTTATCATCCACAAACTGAATGTTAGTCGGAAAGGACTATTCAGACGCTGGAAGATTTGTTGCGGGCTTGTGTGTTAGAAAAAGGGGGTGCGTGGGATACTCATTTGCCATTGATTGAGTTCACGTACAACAACAGTTATCATTCCAGTATCGGGATGGCACCGTTTGAGGCTCTTTATGGTAGAAGGTGCAGAACTCCTTTGTGTTGGTATGAGTCGGGTGAGAATGTGGTTTTGGGGCCAGAGATTGTGCAGCAGACTACTGAAACAATTCAGATGATCCATGAGAAGATGAAAGCATCTCAGGATAGGCATAAGAGTTATCATGATAACTGGAGGAAAGAGTTGAAATTCAGTGAAGGTGATCACGTGTTCCTGAGGGTTAACCCAGTGACTGGTGTAGGTCGTGCGTTGAAGTCCAAGAAATTGGATCCGAAGTTTATTGGGTCGTATCAGATTTTGCAGGAAGTTGGTGTTGTGGCTTATAGGGTGGCGTTGCCTCCTGAGCTTTCGAATTTGCATGACGTGTTCCATGTGTCGCAACTTCGGAAGTATGTCGTGGATCCGTCTCATGTGATTCAGAGAGATGAAGTGCAGGTTCGAGAGAATCTCACCGTTGAAGCGATGCCGTTGAGGATCGAGGATCGTAAGATGAAGCGACTCAGAGGGAAAGAGATACATTTGGTGAGAGTGGTTTGGGGAGGTGCTATAGGAGGCAGTGTGACC